GCTCCTGTTTATTACATTTTGACTTTACATTTCTAGATCAAAACTTGTCGGTTAGTACCACGGAGGAAAAACAAAGAGGAGGTGTGGTGATTAAATTTTCTCAAGAAACGACGCGTGATAATTTGCGGGATGCGGGGTGTTCAGCTCCGCCCACTTCTCAATATTTCATCTATCGGCTAATAGCAAAACTAGCTTAGGTTGATATTTATGTTACTACGTAGTAGTTCAGCTATCTAACACTAGATGTTCAAAAGTTTTGTATATAATGGGACGTACTCAGAACTTGAAGCTTCAAAAAAATGAAATATGTAGGTAAATAAATAAAATAAACGTTAACAAATTTGACCGATTTTAAAATTTTTAAGGTATAATTTTTATTATTTTAAAACATGTAACTGCTTGATGAAAAAAAATCCAGGCAGACCAGGCAGCAGACGGGACTCGAACCCGCACCCGCTCCCGTCTGCTGCCTGGTCCGCGTGGATATTTTTCTAGTTATATTTTCTTTAGATTTAAAATTTAAGGTAGTTTAAAAATAATAGACAAAATGTTATTACAAACATAATTTTATTAAAAAACATCAATTACCTGTAAATAATAGTTTTGGTTAGTTGTTGTCGGTTGGTTGCCGTATCGTTTTGTATTGTGGCAAAATGCTTAAAACGAATATCAATATATTTTTCTGCAATCGATTTCATCAGAAATACAACATGATTAACTGTAGGTGATTGGTCAAACATATGGTTGGCCGATTTTTTGAAACAATCTTGTCCAATAAGTGATTTTAATGTATTCGATACAATTTTATGTTTACGAAAGTTAGGAGTATTCAAAGATTGCGATTTAACACAACGAATACTGCCTTCGGTCCGTATACATATTTTTATGACATCTCTAGATGGGAAAGTAAGACCACCCTTATTTTAAGTTTTTATCAAATCAAGGTCACTATCGTCGTAGTTATCAGCATATAATTTTTTGAGACAGCTCTCACATTTGATCTTGGAATGTAAATATTTGACCACATACCCAGAAATATATGCTACTATTTGACGGCGCAAATAGTCACCTATAGTTGTATTTAATTGTTCATCAAATTCCAATAACATATCGTCAGGCATAGGCTCGACATCCGTGCTATCCGAAGACTCGAAACTCATTTTATTTAAAATGCGATAACGTTCTGATGTAATATTAATTTTTTGCACAGAAGATTCATTTAAAATGGAAATATCTTCTTCTTCTATGGTGTCCAATCCGGTCTATTAAGTTTTGAAATCCATTGCTGTTTTAAATTATAGTTGGATGGAAATCTAAAACGAACATAAAAATAATTAAAATTTATTTACTTGGTAAATAATTTAATACGTATTACGGCCCTGGATATTTGTAACGTTTAAAAAGTTATTCTATATGACGACAGATGGCGGCCAGTAAGTAATATATTGATAAAATTACTGTTTTAGATACTAAAAGTTACTTAGGAATAAGTGTATAACAGTTTTCAGTATTTACGTATGATTATTACAATATAATACTGCAAAATTATACGTAAACTTGTGTATTTTCTTCCTAAAAGTGTCGCCATCTGGTGTCAAGTAGTAGAATTTTAACGCTGAAAGCTGAGGCTGAGAATGTTCTAGAACTTATATATTTAATTACGTATAACATTACTTACAAATGAAATGTGATGCCATCCATATTATCAGAACGTCTGTCTGAGTAACTTTGACATAGTAAAACACAAAACTTCATCCTTTTCTTGTTAAAAACGCAAAAAAACACTTATAATGCGAGTCTCGTTAAGTGTGCACCTGACGAACGCTGAAAGCATACTGACTTAGGCCCCGCCCACAATGATGACGTCAGGACCTAGTTGAAAATCACAGTGCACAGTTGCTTAGGCCAGCTCCTCTTTGTTTTTCCTCCGTGGTTAGTACATTTTTTCCGTCTCTATTTTAAGGTAAAATTTTCTAAGCGACACTTAACTTTTGAACCGATGACGCTCTTGAATTGTTGTTTATGCTTCGATGTAGACCATAAAATAAGATTTCCAAAACAATCAGAATTGCGTAGGTTTTTTTTTTCTGAAAAATCAAACTTTAAACTGCTGTCCTGTAAAGTTAGCTTAATGTCGCTTAGTCAATATTTTCTTTCAAGCGTCGATTAGTATGTCGTGTTATGTGACGTGACGTGACAGAGAGGTTAAAAAAATATATTTCAGTGTCGCCCTGTGTCAACAACACAAGTTGCCTGCTGCCACTATGGCCACCCTGCTTAAACTAAACTGTTTATTTTCTCGCGCTTCTTTTCCGATTCTGAATCTGATTCTGAACTTGCGTGAAGTGGCCGTACCCGTACTCACACTAACCTCATTATTGTATGAAACCGATACCTCTCTGACGCGTTACGATTATAGATGCGAAGACGGTTATTAACGATTTTGACCATGCAGTTAAAAATGAACTCTTCGTTTTTGACGGTTATTTAACCGCATTTTATGATTGTTACGCTTATTAAGCATCGCTAGTGTATTGAAATGCGCAGTAACAAGTAGGTATGTATAATTGCTGGCAGACGATGGAGTTGTGTCCGCGGAGGACAAATTAAGGGTTCCTTAATCTTGAAAAAGATGTCCACCGAGTACTTCTCAAGTCCGGCTTGTCGTGTCTAACCTTCACTATGGCTGATCGAACTGGTGCAGCCTAGCCGTCAACCAGCAGGTCTCCCAACGCGTCAGTGTTACAGGTTACAGTGTGACTCGTTGGGAACAAACGGATCGGTACCGATCCCTTTCAGAGTTGATATAACCACTTCTTTCAGATCTTACAACCAGGGATCCTTTAAAAGAGGCGTGAAGAAGCAACATGCAGGCCGGCAAGGTGAGGATGGCTGGTGTGGCAGGTAGAACTGCTGTACCAGCTATCTTCACGTCTGGACTTTACCATCACTTAACATCAGGTGGGGTAGTCATTTATCAGACCTATCTACAAAAAAAATGTGTCATCATTATCACAGCCTACTATTGTCTTATAGGTCTAATAACTACTGAAGATTGAAGAATTGCCATCAAAGAATAATAAAAAGATTTCGTATTCAGTCAGTGTTTTATTTATAACATTTCTTAATATTTTAGTATAAATGCAAGAGGACCAATCATTGTGGGGGTCCAACATTAGTATAAGTTCCCTATTTAATGTCCTTTTCTAATTTGGTTAATTAATGGTAGCTAACGGGTTTTTAATAACTAAAGTCACGACACGACGACACCACAGACAATTAAACGCGCTACTGACATGCCTGCCGCAGGGGCAATCTGGGGTGCACGGCGGTCGGCCCAATATCGGCTTGTATCTACACACATGCCTGCTATTCAGTGTTCGGGCGTATGTAGAGTTAAACACACGCATTGATGATGGTCCCAGTGCCATCAAAAAATATGTTACCGTAAAAAAGGAAATACTGGGTGAAGAATTGGCAACAGAAAGAAAGTAAAGTAAAAGAAAGTAAAGTAAGTAAAAAAAGTAAAAGAAAGTAAAAGTAAGTATTGTAAATAAGTAATATTTATGATAAAAAAAACCACGCGGACCTGGCAGCAGACGGGATTCGAACCCGCACCCTTCGCTATCCGGGCGAATGCACTGATCCATTATGCTACCGCGGCCCTGACGGCCGTATCGAATTCTTTCTAACCTTTCTTAAGCTGCAAGGCAGCGCCATCTCTTCGCATTATATGTAACCCACAATATCAAATGAATACCTTTACAAGTATTAAACATGTAAAAGAAGAAATAGCAGTTAGTCATAATTTTAATTTTTTAAGCATGTAACTGCTCAATGTTTGAATCTAAAGAAAATATTACAAGAAAGAATAAAAAAAACCTATTTGTATTTTTCTAGTAATATTTTCTTTAGATTTAAACATCGAGCAGTCATATACTTAAAAAATGAAAATTATTTAAAAAAATATATTATTAATGTATGTTTTTTTATCCCACATGTGGGGCCGGTCTTCATATACTTCGATCACTCATGTCCAAACTTCATGCTCATTATGATCTGTCGCCATCTTGATTGAAATACGTGCGCTGCGTGTGGCAGCTACTAACCGACTGATTGAGAAATTGGCCCAATCGCGCTACACACGCGGCAACGGCAACGTGCAGGGCGGTTGGGACAATCTAGTGAGCAAGGGTGGTCGCGCGCTCCTGCCGCCCTGCCGCAGGCCCGATTTAAAAAATTGCCCAACTTGCCTACACAGATCACAATTCAGGGTCATCCCCACTCTTACACCCTAGATTGTCCCTGCGGCAGGCATGTCAGTAGGCGCTTTTACATCTCCGACTTTACGTTCCCAAAAGTATGGTTGAGCGGCGAGCGAAACGATGGCTGGTTTTTCTTCTTTTCCTTTTTTATGGCATGCACGGTTTGGCGTTAAGTAAAAATTTAGGGAACACTAAAGGGATCGGAAAAAAATACGAAATCTGGAAAGGATCAGGATTGTAAAAAAAATATATATTTACATTTAAAGTTTTATATTATTGAGTAAAAGGAAAGATACAATACGTATCATAGTAGAAGTGTAGCTATATTGGTCGAGAATGGTATATGAAGGGATGATAAGTCTCTAAAGAGTAAGGATCTATGGAACAGAGGACAAGAAAACACAATTTGATCAACATTTCCCTCATCGAACCCGCAGTCACACCTAGGATCGTTTATTATATTGAGTTTGGCAAGGTGGGAAGGCACAGACGTATGGCCCAGTCTCATTCTATTAATCACAGACATCTCCGTCTTAACAAACTTCATGTTGAAAAACCAAGGTTGATGGCTGGTTCATGTGGCTCATGCCAAATGGTTTCTCTTTTAATAAATTTCATTATAAACACTCCTTCGCCTTTTCAATTCCCTCCGCGCTAAGGGCTCACTCATTAGATATCATCAATATTCACAGCTAGATGCATGGTATTATGAATTTAAAAAAAAAAAACATTTTCATTGATGCTTGTTTCACTACCACAGCGTCAAAACCAAACCAAACATTTGATGAATTTTAAGTTCTTAGAACGCCCTATGGTTTCAGAATCTTTTATAGAGGATTCATATCATGGCTGTGGATGGAGTCTTGTAGAGAACTGTTCATAATTAAGGTATTAAAACACTTGTGTGGTACTAATAACATAAACACACATTCGTGTTACAATACCCCTCATTATACAACATTGCATAAATAACATTTTTAGCAAGCTCCTATTTGATATTACAGCAATTAATGAATGGCAGAATTGTTTAAAATGATTATTTTACTTAGTTCTCTAATATTATCAACCTCTCTGCCAGACCATGAAATCATAAAAATTACTGCTACCGGCTCCCAAGCTATGTATAGCGAAATTTATTCGCATTTTTTCACGGAGTTCTTCAGCATATTGACTATGAACAAAGTAGTGCTTAATCGGTTTTCAAGCACTTCTTTATTAGGTCATATTTTGAGCGTTGGTGGTGAATCGAAGTCTTTAATATTGTTAACAATTTTACGCCAACGTTTCACAGAGCTATTCGTATTTACTATTTGTTAAATTCATAACAGTGTACCCTTACCATTCCTAGAGAATAAAAAAGGAGACAGTTGTCTAGCTAAATATTACGAAAATCCCCCGGGATGTGCTGGCATAACATTCAGATGCATCCAATAGTAACAAAGAATGTTTGCCAGCACATCACGTGGCTTTTCGTACACACAAATCTGTGTGGCGAAGCCACCATATTCCTTCAGAACTAAAAATGGTGATAACATCAAGACTAAAATTGCCAAGGAAATTCAAATGTTGACTACATATTTCAAATTCTATTAAAAAATGTATAAAGAAAGAAAAGATAAAGTCGTTCTTATAATTACTTTCTTGTATTTGTGGAAGCTAATATTATACATAAGTAAAATTTTAAACTTTACATTATTTTTATAAAATAGGTATTAAATACAGGTTAGCATTAACTAATATTTACAAGTCCATGAAACAACTATACACTTCATTGAATTAGTAATAATTTAATAGACATGTTATATGGACAGGCAACAGCATGTTTCAACACTCATTGCGTTTGAATTTTTTATTATTTGATTCATTCATAACGTCTTCAAGTTTATTCACTCTCCGAGATTTAAGAAATGAATTACTATCACTTTCACTAACATTCTGCCGATTACAGTTCAAGCCAGTGATATTTTGATTATGTACACCATGTTTTTTATCACCAATTGTTTTATTATTTTTATTAACTATTAACGTATTTTGAATGTCTTTAACCAGGTCACTAGTATGTAATTTAATTGGTATTAATATTTGATTTTCATTGTCCCCTTTCTTTAGAAATTCTTGTTTAATTTGCACCATGGATCTGTGTTCAGCGTCACTCGAGAGCCGGATTGTTTTCCGTAAATGTATAGTGTCCGTAGAGTCTGCGAAATTACGTTTAACTAATATATCGCCCACAGGAATTTGTTTAACAAATGTTAATGTTGGTGCGTCTGAGTCTTTCCCATCTGTTTTGTTAGATTTGCTTGAGTTTCCTTTATCTCCATCAGATCCTTCTTCTTGCTGATCTTCAGTTTCTATTAATTTACCTATGAAAACATTAAACATGTATATTATAATGTATTTACTTAATAATAATGTTACCGATGGGAAGGCTTCAATTTCACTCACCATTTAAAGTAGGGAATGTAATATCAGGTAAAGTCAAATGCGATTCTGGGTTATATTTATGCATCAGAGTTTTGAGTAATATTGAGATCTCTTCTCTTTTTCTTGTGACTACTATTTCATCAAACCAATTTGCGAGCTGTTTAATGGGCAGAGAATAATCTAAAATAGGATGCTGAAAACAAAGAAATCAATATTAGCAAGATATTTGCATTTTTGAAAACCAGAAAAAGTGTAATGCGATTCAACTAAGAACTGGGCGCCATATTTTGACGTCATAGCTGTCAATTCAAACCAAATATGTAGAGTGAGCAAAACAATTTTGCTATTTAATAAAACTTATTTACTAAGATTAAGTGAGACAAAACATCAGATTTTTTAATAAAATTAATTTACTAAGGTTGAGAAAGAACACAACCGATTTTTAATAGTATTTCTTTATTAAGACTTGATTAAGATATGAAAAAAAACATTAATCAGAATCTAGCTCCTCAATTTCGCTCATTTCTGCGTTATCGCCGGAGAAGTTATGAATAATCATGCAGGTCACATACGAACATGTAGCCTATATGTAAACGAAAGTTTTAAATCGAGTGTTTGAATGCAACATAATGTCTCTACATTTGGTTGACGATTTAGATTATCAACCATTCATAACCAAAGCTCAATAAATGAAACAAAAACAACTAATATTAATTATCATTTGTTAGTGTTATTGTGTTTAATTTTTTATTTTTATACTAGAATCAGCCGAGTGCTAAAAAAGTGTTCCGAGATTTTTTTGCAAACCGTACTTTTCAAGCGACATTTGACAGTTGGAGGTCATTGGCTTTCCTATTCTTATTTGAATCGCATTATATAGCCTGCTGATGAGACAAGCGCCGTTTTTTATGGAATCGACACAATGATCTAAAATATCGGAATGATCCAGATGACTAGTGAAGCAAGGAGATAGAACCGATCTGACCTATCTAGCCGCCGCCGTTTTGATATTTGTTTGAAATTTTTGCCATTTTGGTTTTTTTCGTGCTCGCGGCGCATGATGAATGTAGTATGTAATAGGTTGAGGACACATAGACGAACAAAATGTCAAGTAATAACAATAATAATCAACCTGGGAACGATTATGATTACAATCTGAAGCCTATGGACCTCTAATATGTATATATTTAAAGATTGTCGTTGTACTCATAATAATATTTCGATGTTAACCTCCAAATATCTCGGTAACGTGACACTTTGGGGTTGGTACCCCAAAGTGTCACGTGCTCCTTGACATTTTTTGTTAGTTTTGGTAGTCAATATGTCCTCTACCCATGCATCTCTCTTTCAACGTCCGCCACGATTTCGAAAAACAAAATTAAAATGGCAGCATTAAAATGATATTAGTAAATAACCTGAGACTGTTTCCTAACTTTGCCAAATACCCTGTTGGATGGGGAAGACGGAGGACAGAGGGAACGACGTGAGACGCTAAGGGACGATGGGACGGTTTTTCAAGTCACGAATAAAACTTATACGCCGACAATATCCATCACTATTGAAGCAGAGAGCTAGTGGAATGGAATATGAAGGCTAGGATTTGAACGCAATGGGTTTATTTTTACAGTATTTTAAATTAAGCAACCAAACAATATTTAAGCAGATGACAGGAAAAGACTGACACACAATAACAATTTTGATAGCAAAAATCATAAATGCCAATATGTTAAAAACACTTCAAAAAACTATAAAAACTAAATCTATAAAAGAGGTCGGCAACAACTATCACAAATGAACATGAATAAATATTAGGAACCTAAATTAATTTTGTCTACATAAATCATAAAAGATATGAATTGAGGAGCTGGCAAACAAAACGGTATAATTACGCATCTGGTCAAACCACCGTTCTTTTTACAATCCGGAGGTTTCGGGCCTGTTTAATTTGAATACCAAATAATTTTCAATAAAAACCGCCTAACTAGTATTAAAATTACCAACTTTATTAATTAAAAACCATGCCAAAAGCTCACTGTAGGTATGCCATTCAGTTTTATACAGCTCCTGTTAAATTTAATTTTATGTAATTATACCGTTTTGTTCACCAGCTCCTGATTTTTATCCAGGGTTTGAAAAATCGGCCCACAATACAAATCGCCGGCAGTTAGATGATGATTGTTGACCTTTCTCGATTATTTTATAAAGGCAGACGTTTTCTGCTTATTACTTATTTACCAATATTAAATCCTATTTATTATTTACTTACCTTAAAAAAATGCTCAACATACTGCAACAAGTATAAGCCACAATCCGTAAAATTGTTTTGTTGAGGTATTTTTGGACAACTACCTTTTATATTGTCTTTATTGAATATCTTATGTTGAGATATCTGCAAAAAATATAAACATTATATTACGCGAGTATTCCGTTTAAGAGGGACCTTTAAGAGACATTTTTTTTTATAGCGAGGTTGGCTAATGTCTCTACCCCACTTGATGTTAAGTGAGGATAAAGTCCAAACACGAAGATAGCTGGTACAGCAGTTATAAACTGCTACACCACGCTTCTTCACGCCTCTCTTAAAGGACCCCAGATTTTAGGAAGGAGGGAACAAGTGCGCGCGTAAAGAATTCCACTTACGAATAGCGGGTAAAGAATTCCACTTACGACAAAGAAATGAGTCACCAAATTTCTTTGTTCGTGTAGGAATAGTGGCCACAGTAAGTCGGTAAGTATAATCACATTATTATATTGATTCAATATAATATTATAAGTTCAGAGATTTTTGTTTTGCCAATATAGATTCATGACTACAGCAGTACTCTTAGCACGAACCATATCGAATCCAAATAATTGAATTTTATCTCGATACGTGAATTTGATCTCAAATGTGAAGAAGTTTTGTATAGATAATTTTTAATTCTCGTTACGTCCGTTGTGGCGCTGTTATAGTTTCCAACAACAATTCAACTATTCGAATTCGATATTGGTTCCTGCTAAGGGTATGGTAATATTCTCTAACCTCTATTAATCAACAAGTTTTGATCTACGATTTTAACTAATGCCGTTATTAACAAATATGATGATACAAAACTTACTTCCATTAAAATACAGGCGTTTCAGACAGTACCAGTTACATACTATTAGTTACGGTTGTCTGGAAGAAATCGCTCTTAGCGATAGACCGCCAATTATAACGCTTCTGTTAAGTTTATTGTTTGTTAATTTTATGTAATTATTATTTGGTGTTATGAATGAATGAATGAATAACTTTATTGTACACCATGAGATTGTAAATTACAATTAATTAAGACTATTACATTATAGTAAAAACGGCGGCCTTATCGCTAAGAAGCAATTTCTTCCAGGCAACCGTATGTTAACTGGACTGTTACATAGAGAGTGGGAAGTAAATGGTGTCATTTAAAGTGAAACTACCAATAATAATACTTATAAATAATTATGTACAACAAAAAATAAAATAAAATAAATAAACATAATATATCCATATATAAACACAATAACAATTTAATCATACTTTGGATGATGTGATGACTAGCAAGTGTCAAGTAATGTTCCTTTAACATTTTTTTAAAACAAGGTAATGTTTTAGCACCTCTGATTGTTTCTGGCAAGGCATTCCACAAACGAGCAACGAAACGAGCATGTTATTTTCTATACATATAATAAAATGGTAGGAAAGTCAAAACTGTACATTGAATATTTTTTTAAAAGAATCGATACTGAAGCCAAAAATATAGTTTTTACAATTTTTGTCTGTTTGTCTGTATGTAAATCCAGGATAAACTCAAAAAGTACTGCATGGATTTACTTCAAATTTGGCACGAATATTATTAAGAAGTCGGGTCAACATATAGGCATATTATCACGCTATCACCTACGGGGAACGAGAAGTGAACCTTTATAGCTAACTAACTCTACGTGTACGAAGTCGTGGGCGGCCGCTAGTAAGTAATTAAGTGTTAATCTATCCTGGGGAATAATAATACCACATAAAACATTAACTCACTTTTGCTTGAAACTCGCACGTCAAGTAGTCACGTAACGTCGCTACCACCCTGGACCTCGACGCTCCCGCTAGTGAGTCGAATATCAAAATACATGGTCTGAAACAAACATCACAAATAATTAAATTTAAAATATCTATATATATATATATAAACAATTGTTGTTCGTAAGTCTCGCTGAAACTCGAGAACGCGCTGAACGGATTTATCCTATTTTGGTCTTGAAATATTAGTGGAGGTCTAGGGAAGGTTTAAAAGGCGAGAAATTATGGAAAAAATGCGAGGCAGATAGTAAAAACGTCAATTTAATTTTCCCATACAAACTGTTCTATCTTCTTTCCTGTCAAATATTTGACGTTTGTCCCTTTTAGGTACGGTAGACTCGGGTCCGTCATTTATTCCAAATTATTTTAACCCATACAAAGTATGCGGGGTCAACTAGTAATTTTTAAATATTTCTAACACATAGGTACACCAATTAGCCTAGCCCCAAAGTAAACACTGTAAGACTTTTGTTATGGGATACTACTGTAACGGATAGAATACATATACCGATACATAGATAAGTATATTTTCTATATATTATTTAGAAATACATAGAAACAACTATGACTAATGTACAATTGCTCGTATTCATCATACTCATATTTGCCCTCACCGGGATCCGAACCCGGGACCTCACGAGTAGGCGACACATTGAAACCTTTTGGGACGTCCCCAACTTAGACATGGGACGGGTAATGATTTTGTTAAAAAGATGCGGCCAAATGTTTATCAATAGCAATGTTTATGAACGCCTATTTTCTGAAGCAGGATTAATTTACGAGACAAAAAGAAGTAGACTTGATGGCGATCGCTCAGAGAATCTGGTGTACGTACATCATAATTTGTCAATTTTAAATTGCAAATATTAATAACACAGTAGGGATGATGACAGAGTAAAGTAAACGAAATTCTATTAAGCCCGTCGTCAGTTAGATTTTAATGTATAAATAATGAACACATATTTTTTCTTTTGCCAATCAACCAAATACTTACAAGGATAAGGCGCGTCAAGTTTGGGAGTGGGGGGCCCGTGAAGTTACGTCTAAGTTAAAATTGCACCAAGAGGTTACGTCATGCGACATTTTTAATCATTAAATCTTTGTTATGTTTTGATGAAGCGAATAAAAAAAAACGTGTCCAATACTTTTTGATAATCTATGTGATAGAGAAGAAAAAAAAGTTAATCAACATCCCTATTATTACTTTCTATCTTCAATGTTATGAAACATTCCTAACGTAAATGCTTTCCGTATGATGTCATTTTATAGTACAAGTTTTACATAATAATAAAACTTGTATTATGGAGCAGAGACGATGCACAGCATCTGTGAGAGAGTGCGTCGACTTCCGGTCTAGCGATTTCCGCTAATTTTACTTACCGCCATTGTCGTTGCTATGGTAACTTCCTTTAAATTAATACTTTAAAAGACTTAGTTCCGTTTGGCGCCATTTGAGTGACCTTAAAAGGAGTTGTTGGTGCGCAGTGTTCTCATAGAATTCTCTCACCAGGAGGCCTTAATTGGATGCTGTGCATCGTCTCTGCTCCATAATACAAGTTTTATTATTATGTAAAACTTGTACTATTATCGGCATGTGACGATGCACAGCATCTGTGAGAGACGTGTTTAGTAGCTCCTGGTGACTATGTATGATGATGACGCTATGTGATGATAATTACCAATCTGGTTTATATAAAATATACCTGTAACATGTCTGGTACATATATGTTAGGTGCATATTTTATACATAACATAAATAAATACAAATATCATTATTTAATGTTTTATTTAATTGTTTTAAGGCACATTATCATATTTCAAGTAATTATTTGCGTATAATCAATAATAATGTAACAAAATTATCCTTACAGATCTAAGATTGATTTAAATAAATACGTGTATGACACTTCCTATTAGATCTGACAAACATTTTCATTGAATTGGTTCGAAGTTTTTAATGAAGGCATTACTTGTATTAGCCAAATCAGGTTTGCTTTTAATTTGTCTAAAATAAAATTTTGCAAAAGTATTTTCACTTCGCCAATTACCCCGTGAAAGAATATCATCAATGGGTAAATTATCCCACCAATTCAACGAAGCTACAGCGGAGCGTACACTACCTGGGGACGCTTTGATACCAGCATCCCTAAATACAGTTTTTATCCAGTTAGCGATAAGAGTTCTAGTGGCTGCTTTTCTTTCGCCAGTGATGGAAATAAATAAGGCGTTGTTACACTCCGCTATTCTTCTCTGCTCACCCAGTTCTGACACTTTACGCAACCAAAACACTGGACAAATATTTTTATTTGTGTTATTTGTCAGTTTCCACCCTGACTGTCTATATAGTGCGGTATCCGTTTTAGAACCAAATATAGGCCATAATATTATATGGTCACCCATGTGTGTCTTATATGGTCCTTAAAGAGTTCAGGGGTTAACTTTAGCAATGTCAAATCATGGACTCTTCTACCAGACGCTAAAAGCAATATACAAGCTAGTCTACGGGAAGCTTCAAACAGGTTTAGCCTGACAGGTGAATTAGAGCTTAACCATGAAATTAAATCAGATGGATTCCAAATAGGAGCCTTTTCTTTTACAGGCTGTTGCAAGGAAATTGCTTTGAGCATATGTTTTATCAAAAAATTTGAATTTATATCCTCTCTGGGAAGGCCTAGAGTTAAAATAACAGATTTATGCAAGAGTATAGTGGAGTATGACATTTTTTTCTGTAAGTGCAAATAAGCTAAATATTTTGAAAGAGAACTGCTATTGGGATGTTTATAATCTAAAACGTTGTCCTTACACCATTGAGTCCAACAAAGCCAGGCTGGTCTATATGTCTTGAGAGTAGATTCCCTCCAGCTTTGCTTGAGTAGTGACTTCTCTGTTTCAGTCAAATCCTTTATTTCATCGGCCCACCCCCAACTTTCCATACTAAAAGTTGCATATCCTGGACCTGAGGAGGTGGTAGCCCTGTCATCTGATCTATTAGGACCTGATGAAGGTTGTCCACTCTCATGGGACGTGTCAAAGCTCGCTGGCGCAGGTCGGGTAGCCAGTAAGCTCGTTTCCAGAGTGGTGCTACTAAAAGGAACGTACCTCGTGCTTGGTTCAGATGATGTAGTACTCTGGGCACCAGAGAAGGTGGTGGGAAGACCCATGCTAATTTGAAATTCCAGCTTTTGCTGAAGGCGTTGCAGAAAGCTGCTGAAGAGTCGCTCGCAACCTTGGATACATAAGCTGGTACCACCTTCGTGTCCTTTGACGCAAAGAGATCTATCTCTGGAGTGCCAAACCTCCGAAATATCGTTTCTAAAGCTTCTGGTTGCAGATGCCATTCCGCAGATTTCTTGCCCCTGGATAGACTGTCTGCAATCTGATTGTATCGTCCAGGAAGGTATTCCGCCGTGAGTATTATCTTCGATCGGTCTAGTATTTGAAAAAGATTGTGTGTCAAATCCAGTAGTGCTTCTGAATGCGTCCCTCCCTCGTTTCGAACATAAGCAACTACGGTCCGATTGTCCTATTGGTGAATTACGTGTCGACCCTTCAGAATGTGTTTGAATAATTTCACTGCTGATATTATCGCAAACATCTCCTTTAAGTTGCAATGCCAACGAGTTTGATTTTGGTTCCACTTGCCTGCTATCGAGTGATCGTCTAGCTGAGCTCCCCAACCGTAATCCGCAGCATCCGTTGTCAAGAAATGTTGAACAGGTATTTCGTGTAAGGGACTGCTTGTGTGACCTTCTTGTATGATTGACATCCACCAATTCATGTCTGATCTTACTTCTGGTGTCAAAACCATTGACTGGGCTGGTGCCATTCAGGAGCTTCCGACAAGACCTCTGTAGGTGCCGGCAATGCAGTCTTCCTCCAGGTGTTGAGAAACTGGCAAAATTGAGAATTCCCAGTAGTTGTTGACGTTCCTTCAGTGTCGCAGTTGGTGCCTTGCACATGCCGTTCGTCATGGTCAAAATCGATTTTACCTTTGACTGAGGAAGAGCTTTGAAGTTTCTGACGGTGTTCCATGTAATGCCTAGGTACTCCAGCTCTTGTCTCGGTGTCAATACAGATTTCTCGCGATTGATGGTCCAACCTAGCTGCTGTAGCAGCTGATGCGTAGCAATCACTTCCTTTTCCAACTGCTCCCTTGATTGATTGAATAGTAAAAAATCGTCGAGGTAAACCAGGATTCTTATACCTTTCTTCCGAAGCAGATGAGCTACCCAGTTGGTGATTGTTACGAAGTTCTTTGGTGCACACGACAGCCCGAAGGGAAGACTGGTCATCTGGTACACTTCCCCCTGGTAAATCAGGCGCAGGAACCGGCGGTGGGAACTGGTGATAGGCACGTGAAAATAAGCTGATGAAAGATCTATCTTCACCATCCAGTCCTGACTCTGAAGAAATTTTGGGATTAAAAAATGAGATATCAAACGAAATTTCTTTGGAATTATGTACTGATTTAGGCTTTTGAGATTGAAAATTGGTCTGTAAGAGCCATCGTTTTTCTTTCGAAGAAAAACTGTCGAAAAGAAACTCATACCCAACCGATTTTGATCCGGTTTTTCGAGAATTTGTTGTGATAGCAAGGTCTCGATTTGTATGGTCATATCTGGTGACTCTGGAGTTCTGAACCGCTGAAGATTGGGCTGTGTTGGTGGGACAAGCACACGCCTGGAGGTGAATGGGAGACGCATCCCTGATATCATTTTCAGGATAGCCTTCGGAGCCTGATGCGCCTGCCACTGCCTCCGATACGCTCGGAGACAGCCCCCGTAAAAATGTCGGTTTAATGTTTGATAGTCATTTGAATTTTTTCTTATCGTTGGAAGATCCTTCTTTTCGATTAAATTTTCTAAATTTCGAGACATTAACCGTTTTAGCGGCTGTAGAGGAAGGTTCTGGCTTCGCGATTCCTTGTTTTTGGTCAGCTCGAAAGGACTTATTGCCACGGTCACGTGATGGTCCCGCCTTGGGCTGCCTTTGGACGACTCGCTTGAGTTCGTTGTCACTACCACTCCAGTCGGATCCACTTATCGATTCCTCCAGTGCTTTGAATATAAGATTGCAAAGCAGAGCTTTCGAATAAAAATTCCGAACTGGGAGGGATTCTTCGTAAGCCCTCACGTAAATATTTGTTAGGTATTTCCGCCAAGATACGCTCTCGACGTACTTCAATACATTCGGCACGTTTGCCACAAACTATTTGCATTATATCTTCACTTATTTTATGAAATTTAGACTGAGCATTAAACAGGTCCGATATTTTGTCAAACACGCTTGAAGGATTAAGCTCAGTGTTGGGCGCGGCTGCCCAGTTGACAAACTCCTGTAGTTGTTGTTTAAGGCACTCATGTTGAGAAAGCAATCCGTTTGTAATAGCTGCCAAAGATCGCTCAAAGGGGACCGCAAGATCCTTCCTTGCCTTTTATATATTGACGCAATTCGTCATTAATACGAAGTTCGACAAAACCCGGTTGAGCACTGTAGGTTTTTAAGGCATCTGAATACCGAACCTCTTTCCAATTAATATCGTTAAATTTTTGCAATTGCTCTAGTTTTCTAAGTCTAGTGGGGTCAGCGCTGAGTATCTTTGGTTCTTTCACCAAAGTATTCATTACTCCAATATTTAATTCAAGGTTATTTTCTGTGATAGTAGCGGGGCGTTGTAAGAACGACTGTTTTAAAGTGTGTTCAGAAGACAGATCGTTACTTTTGGATTGAGGTACGTTATTCGAATTATTCATTAAAAGATTTGTAAGCACACTCATTTGATTTAAAAGCATACTGTAATTATCAATATCCGACGTACCTTGTCTCTTTCGTTTTACCTCCGATTCGGAAGAAAGCTCCGAACTCGCACGCCGCTTTCCGCCTGCCTGCTGCCGGGCGGAACTACCCTCGTTCGAAGCGCGGTCGGCACATTCATCACCAACCACCATCATGTACACTTCATTATCACTTGAATTACATTCACTCATTTTTTATTTTAACTATTTACTTTAACAATAAACAATTTTTCTAAAAAGAGTAAACTTTCGAATCAATCACGAGCAGAATTTCTGCTTAAGATGTTGCTAGTACGAAAGTTGACGACGCTATGATAACACTGCGCACCAACAACTCCTTTTAAGGTCACTCAAATGGCGTCAAACGGAAGTAAGTCTTTTAAAGTATTAATTTAAAGGAAGTTACCATAGCAACGACAATGGCGGTAAGTAAAATTAGCGGAAATCGCTAGACCGGAAGTCGACGCACTCTCTCACAGATGCTGTGCATCGTCACATGCCGATAATTCATGACTTTTTGGGTATTACAAAAAAATATTACTATTATATCTCAAACCTCTGTTTAATTTTACTGTACTTTTTTATTTTTAACTGTGCAAGTAGTAACATCCAAATAAATAATATTTGTAATTTTTCTGAGAATATCTCTGAAATATAAATAAAAAAACTTAATAAAACTAAAAAGCTTACTGTTTTATGGGTTCCGTTTTTCCTACAATCGGTATGTCAGGTTTCTTTTCAACAACGGTTTTCTCTGCATCCTCTTCATCAGTATCACATTGCATATCTAAATCACTTTCCTGCAATGAAAGAACATGTCAGTTTAATTGAATAAATAGGTGAAGAAACAAGATTATCCCAGACATTTTAATACCTCTGCTTCAGCCTCATCTCGTTCACTGAGGTTATCAGAATCGCAACTTAATGTAAGCTGCTCCTGTTTTGTTAATGGTGTGATTGTTGTGTTTCCGATTTGCATAGATGACCTCCGTTCTGTTCCAATGAAAAATAAAAACTAACTTAATATTAAAATCTATGAAAAAAGAAAATGTTTATAAAAAATAACAAAACCAAATCACCTACCTCTCTTTTTGATTTCTTGTGGGGTTACTGTTCTGTTATCTATCATGCTCCTACAGCCATCTTGGCTTGGAAAGCAAATTATTGCCACAAACCAGTGACAATTCTCGTTAATAGGAACTACGATGTAGTCTTTATCGAATATATTCACATTTTTTGTCCATGTTTTTACTCGTGCGTGTCGTTTCTGAGCCGGAGTCAAACTGCTATCCCATTCATGTGGATTTGAACTTTTATTTACTTTACTAGGTTTAGTTGTGAGCCTTTTATAAAAGAATGTGCTAAATATATGAGTCTTCTCTCTCTGGCTTGGTGTTAAAACATCATGAACCAAGTGTTTTAAGTAGAAATCAATAATAACATCGTTCAAAAATTGATCTTGAGCTAGGCACATATAATCTTCTGTGTTTATAGGAATTCCTCCTTTTCCAGGAGGATATATCAATATCTGTCTTATTTCAGCCGGGTTGGAGCTGTAATTTAAAAAAGTTTTAAAACATTGTTTGATAATAATATTCGTAAATAGTAGTGCAATAACAAACGAATTTGATGAAATGGAATTAAAGAGATAAAAATAGGAAGAACCCACCCATTCCTTGGCACTCTAGCAATTATTGGCACTTTAGTTCGTAAAAACAGGAAAACAATAGATTATCAGAAAAGTGCTTTAAACATTTTTAACATTTTAACCTACCCTACTAGGTTTTTCTTTTTAATATACACCTAGCTTGAATAATCTATCTATCCTCGTTTATTAGAACTTAAAAGTTGCAACAATGAAGGTCATTAAGTCAGAAAATCAACTCAAAATCACAGTAGGTACAATGATCTAATAAGCTTTTTAATTAATATACTTTTTATGATTTAAAAGGAATTGGTTCATTGGTTTCGATTTTATAACTAATTTTATGGTAGCCAATATTAACCGGCGGCCGAAACGTGCGACGTCACCGAGCTCGATCGTGGTTCACTCCTGTCGAACTTTGAAGCGCTAGACGTCACAGTCACGACGCGGCCAGCCGAAAATGTGTTTATTAATTTGGTCATTACTTCGTCAACAAAATTTAAGCACTACATGGAATCCTTAACTCTATAAATAAGCAATTATAACTAAAATTGTAACGGATCCTCATTGGCAGAGTGCCAAAAAACTGGATGTTTCCCTACTCTTGACTTCAGAATTAATTTAAAAAAAAAAATACCTCTTAGCTCCGGATGTACTGGAAGCACTGAGTGATCTGGTTGCCATTTTTGTCACATTGTTACTTTCTTTTGGACACGTCCTAACCAAAATGTCGTTGGCTTCTCTCGCATTCAACTCGTCCATCACTTTACCAAATAACGATTTAAAGGTCACTTTTGCTTCTTCTGATATTGCATCAGGTAAAAGTGTTATTCTTTTATATGGATCAATTTTTGACATTGGATTGTAATATGGGCCTGTAAAAAATGCTATGTTTAAGGGCTGATTTTTTAATCGCAATATTGAACTAATTCACCTGATAGACAGAAATTTAATAGGCAGATAAGTTTTATTAGTCTTAAAGTATTAGCCCGTAGTCTAATACTATACTTTTATGACTGTCAACAAGTTACATTATGAAAAAAAAATCATAAAACACACCTGAATCCTCAGACATATCAAGAACTTTTCTTATATAAGCTCCACATTTGCTCATTGTGTACAAAAAAATAATTGGTAAACCTTTGCCAAAATGTACCAATATTCTTACAACTTCTTTTAATTGTATTTGAAGAGCTACATCTTTACTTTCATTTTTCAATGATGGTGCAACAATTTTAATACCCTTATGTGATATGTATACCTGAAATAAATGTAAGCAATTATTGTAAATCTTTGGTCTACACTACACAGCATAATACGCGAACAATATAAAATGGGCTTGGTACTAGGTATGGGTTTGGTAAAAAAAAACTAAAACAAATAAAGATTCTTGCACTAAAAACTTTGTAAAGCACGAACTAATTACGGACAATAAACGATATTATTTGAGGGAGTACAGATGTACAATAGGTTACCAAACAACATTATGGAATGTGATAGCAAAAACATGTTTAAAATAAATTAAAAAAATATGTATTGTCACTGTAAGGAAAGTTTTGTATTTTACTTCCGCCTAAGGAATGGTCGAGTCGATTTTGTTTTATTTTTTTTAATTATATTATATATAATTGTTTTGTTATTTACATAAGAATAACTTTGTGAATGCTCATAAATTGAAATAAGTTACTATTATTAACCGTTTTTTTTTAGACTAAGAGCTAATTTTTCAATTCTTGGATAAAGTTGTCAGTCAGATAAGTAAAACAACAAAAATAAGGGCTAATTTTTCAATCTCCAGTTAGGGGTTATTGGATAGTTAAGTTCACAACCATAAAAACTAAATGTCATTTATAAAACAAGAAAACTATGAATAAAAACTATTTTTATATTTGACGGTATTGTACGATATAAATGGAATAATTTTTGACTGGGCATTGAACAATTAAGTTATAAAACAAGAAAGACATACGTGACAACTACTTTTCAAGGGTGTTGAACTTAAGTATTAATATCAAATTACTGTAATATCCGATGTTCCAAAAGGAGCAATAAGTAATACACAACTGCATGTTATTTTTAAATTCTCATTTTAAGTGGACTGTATGTCTTTATGGGAAATAAGTTATCTTTGAACCTAAAAAGATCCGTAAGGACTATTAACTACATTTCAAAAATTTGAGAAAACAAATAAAATATATCCAGTAAATAAGTAGGTTAAAGATTTAAAATAAAGCAAGTCACCTTTAATAAAACACTTTTTAAATGGGTTTGAATGGTGCTTAGAAACATCAGGAATATGTGTAATAATTAAAAGCACAGTTCAAACCTGTTTCAAAAAGTGATTAATTTAATGATTGGTGTGTATGAAAACAAAAGAAATAAACAAGTCACCTTTTCTTTTGGTGTATATCTGTAAGATCCAATCCGGATTGTTCTACAGTTAAGAGACGTGACAATTCCTGGAAGTGCTGGTAAAATTTCATCTCTACTATGATCTGTAACAATTGAGAAAATACCTTTTATACATCACATATTATACATATTTTTAAAACTCCATAAAACAAGGATAACTTCATCATAAACCTTTTACCATCTGTTGGGCCTCATGCTTATTTACCACCAAATGGTACGACTCAGTCTTATTAGAACGGCGGGCTGTTTCCGCAACTCGACATCAAATGGTACGAAATACAGGTCTGTTAGCATCGAAGAATATAATAAGGGGAGGAAAGTAAAACAGAATACATCCATTATATAGTCGAAAATTTTTGATGGATAGGTTTAGTTACTTTTGTAGACAAATAATTGGCATCCTAATAAAATTTAACTCAAACAATGGCTTAACGATGGTCTGCCAATCCTAAAAAAGATGTATGACATGAAATTATAACCTATTATTTATTATTATTGAATACCTTGTTTTCATTTTTTAAATACTGTAAAATATTGAATCCTACAACAACTTTCCAAATTCAACAAGAATATGGATGAGGGTAAATTAAATGAACATCTATGTAGCCCCTCAGTTGGATTATCAAAAATTAATGTACACTTATTTTATTCTTTTTTCAATTAACCAAAAAATTACAAAGATAAATCACATTAAAGTTTGGGAGTGGTGGCTCATGATATAGAATATGACTTCATAGGACATTTCAAATCAATATAATCTCTGTAGGTAATCTTTTAATTGTGAATAAAGAAAATTTTTTTTTAATACTGTTGATAATCTACCTAATTGATGAAAACAAAGTTAGTTATTATTCCTTTTTAAACTGAATATTTATTAATTTATATATTATTAAGGTTTCATACTTTGGCTACGTACAATAAACACTTTCCTTGTTTGAACTCTTGTCTTTTACAAATGCACTTATTTAATCTTATGGTAAATTAGGCTATGATATACTGCACTATATAGAATACCATGAAAAGCATACAATATAGTATGGCGAAGTATGAACACATTCTTTATTGTTTATAGTGTGTGATATTGTGCTATGAGCTATAAAGTCCCATAGTATAGCCTAGTTCAAGCACGTCTTTTGAGAGTCAATTAAAACTTGTTCTTGTGGATAAAGATAAATTTAAATATCAAAGTAAAGTATTTGTTTCTTAGGTTTTCACGCACATCACGTATCAAGTAAAGCCTTACTTAAAACTGCTGGAAATCAACTGGCCGTCTTATATGTAATTTTTTTATTTATTAATTTCCTGATTGCTCTTAACATTCTTACTCTTAAAATTTTTTTTTCATTATGTGGTCCATTCTACTGTTAATAATGATAATAAGATAAAGTACATAGATCGGTCTTAAATTTAATCTTTTTAAATTAACCTATCATTGCTGTTTATTGGAAAAATATGTGTAACAAAGTGCAAGTTAATAAAAAAGGATTACCTATGCCAAGGTGTTTACAGAAGACTAATAATTGCGTTAGGTAAGTATATGTACGAATGGCAATTTCTTTTTTATTTAACAAATGGAATAGAAATAACATCGGCGTATTCGAATAACGGAGTTTACTTTACCTCTATGAAGATCATCACTGTTCATTTTGAATGTTGGCTATTAATATTTAATTCACAGGGTAATTTAATTGGCAATCACAATCAGAAAAGATAAAGACTGCGACATATTATTGACAAATTTTGGTAGTCACAGTTCGCCATCAAGTCACACAGATGATGTCGCTGTCGCCATATTAGGTTTTAGAGATGCCCGGTCTGAATCTATCTTTTGGAAGATCGATTTGCGGCCATACGAAAAAGACTGAATCGATTTTTGACTCGATATTTTCCCATATCAAATCGAATGCCCAGAAGAACGTAGGAAAAAATCAAATGATTACACTTAATATATCTTTGTAAGCCCATACATTGTTGTGGTTAGGGACACGAAAAAAGTATCGATACTTTGTGGTATCGAGTACTTTTCCTTTCGATACCGATACTTTTGTACTCGATACTTTGTATTCGATACTTTTACTAAATGAGTACTTTTTGGCAAGTATCGATACCTTTAAAAATTTGGATAAGCGCCTCATATTGATGGCAACGCCATCTTGTTAAATCATAGCAAACCTTCTAAAACGTTCCATAGGGTATTTGACAAGTTTTAGGCAACGATCTCACGTTATTGACTAATGTTTATGGAGTCCGTAAAAAGTGGATATTCATCATTCTGTCGTGTATTTCAGTAAAAATAACCAAATCAAAAACTCCATTTTCAAGTTGCTGCGAAAACGTTTCTCTGGACAATATGGCGGATACAATGTAATGTCACTTTGACCGGAAGTTTACTTGCGTGTGACGTCATTTAGGCTCCGCCAATCCCAAGCGTTTTGGGTCACGTGACAATAGATAAGAAAACTAATATCTTTTTCATTATTTTGGCACTTTATTTTTAATATTGTCAAATGCCCTATTTGTTATAAAGTCAGTAACTGACATATTCAAATTCTTTCCAATCTGTGACTGTGTTTATTTTGCGCTTTGTTTTGTTTCATAGTTATTTATTTAGCGACCATATTGTTAGAAACTGTGATTGATTCGCCGTTTATTGTGCTTTTCGCTTGACTGTATGTGATTTATTCAAGTGTAACACTATTAATCTGTCTGTGCTGTGTATACCTATTTGAAACCACCTGAAAAAAAAAACGGACGTAACCTCTTCTATAATTATAATCTTGAGTGAAGCATGCCAATGGCAGCCGTTAACTGCGTGTCAGATTCAAGTTAATATAAGTGGGTATAGTGTTTTTTAATGATTAAAATTCAAGAAAAGTAAGTTTAATTTGAAACAAATCTGAAAAGTGTCATACTTTTAAATTATTTAAGATTTCGATCTTTTTAATTAACATTTTGATTATGAATGTAATATTAATGAACACTTTTTTAGTGTCAGAAATCACAGCTATTTTCTTTTTATTATGAAGTGAATTTACATGTCCTTTTTTTGTTTTTGATTATACATACTATAGTAAAATTCGATGTTTTTCTTTCAATTTTAACACCGGGGGGGGGGGGGGGGGTTGCTCATCAGGCCACAGAGGCTCCGATAAGGCCTTATGAAATGTACTCGATACTTTTACGAGTACGATACTTTTTTACCGATACTACTCATGAGTACAGTATCGATACTTTCTATTCGATATCGTGTCCCTAGTTGTGGTGAATGAAAGGACACGAAATCTACCTTGAACAGTATCATATTACCTATCTACTTTTTTTGGTAAAAAACTGAATACTGTTGAATAATTTTTTAACTCAAGAGATCTACATAAAAATAAATCTTTCATTTTTGTCACTATTTTATTAAGAACTAAAAAGTGGAATTATATAATTATGATCTATAACTAACACAAATTGATTGTAAGCTCTCCCCAAACATACGGAAAATAGAAATTAAAAAGATTGATTAATGTGGCAATTTAGCAGGCAGTTGATAAGGGGGCTTTATAAAACATAACCTTAATAAAAAAAAAGCAAAAAGGACTATATTTTATCTGGCTAGTTGGTTACATTTGTAAAAAAATGTGTTAGTATTAGTTTTCTTGTTTGAAGTGCGTTAAATAAATCATTTTGCACGTGTTTTGTGCCTTTTCAATATTTTTATAAAATTTCCATAAGATTTTCCAGAACCGAATTAAGATCAATTCAATACCATACGATTCAAGTCGTGATTCGATTCACGAAGTTAGAAAGAAAAAGAAAGGTTTAGATCTATAACTAACGATCTAAAAGATCAGGCAACCCTATTAGGTTTGTGATGTCATGTGAAAAAATATTCAATTATCTATATGAAAAATCGATTTATTTAATAATAACAACCGGGTTTTTTTAATCGGCAATTCAAATATTGCCATTAAATCGATTTGTGTACGGAAGATAGACCGACAAAGAAAGCAAATAATAACTAATTAGAACAATCGTAGTTAAAACGATCTGAATAAAGTCAAGTAACAATACTTTCTATATTATATTTCTATAACAATATTTCTTTTATAAGAAAGAAATAAGTACCATCGAAAGTATTCGAAACTTTATTGACATTATCGTTAATATTTCAGTATTTCTTGGTTTGATAATCAATAATATAAGGTATTTAGGTTAACTCTGATTATGGATAAATAAGAATAACAAGACCACAATATAAGTGAAATGCATTGGATATTAACATCGGAAAAAAATAGTTCAGTATAGATGTGTTTTTTTATTTTTACCACACTAGTATGAATGTCTTGGTATGTATAGATGGAACTAGTGAATTTTTTAACAATACAACTTCAATAAATGCTGAAATAAAAATTATAGGTTTGCACAAATATTTAATTTTGGGTCAAGCCTATGTACGAAACGGGTTCTCAATGAAAATTTATATATAAATTTTTTATCGCTACTCGTTTGATTCAAAATCTATTTATTTACAATATATACATAAAGTTTAAATAATCTAATTTTTCTGTATATCACATCCCTATACAAAGATGGGTGGATGGATTTAATTTTTTTCCATTCTAAAGACGAAAGATTCCGAGCTTATACTGATACAAAGAAGGTGGAAAATTTTGGGCCCAGATGTACCTATGTATAATGTAACAACATGAGGTTTGGAGAAAAAAACTGAGCACATTAATTTATTCTGAAAAACAAGCTTGATTAAGAGTTGGCTTGATCACAGACATGTGATTGGAGGAAGATGATGAAGATGTCAGATCAGGACAGATAATCGATAGTAAGTATTATGTGAATTACTTCACACAAATAAAAATCTTGACAGTTTATTATATAAAAGTAATTAAACATAAACTTAAATCGACATTAACTTTGATCGATATAGTAATGAAAAAAATGCCGGCTAATAATAAACGCGTTTGTCTAGCGATATTTATCGAGCATTATAGCATCGGTCTCTTTGGAACTGTGGACTTAGAATGCTTTGCCTTTCTCTATGAAATTATAAGAGTATTTTCTGTAAATGATTTACATTGTC